GATATATATATTTTATACATAGCTGGCTTTGTAATTATTCATACAATTCATATTGCAACTCTCTGAAACCTCAAAAATACATTCAAACTCAGCATATTATAAACTTTTTCTTATCCCTGGTCATACACACATGCACACACACACGTACACATATATACATACACCCATTCCATTTACATGTGCGTAGCCGCAGCATAAGCCGAAAATGTCTATAAATAGCATCAGACGAGACGCCCAAAAATTGCACACAGCAACAACAGCACAGCTGTAACAGCAGCTCTAACAGCGCTCTGTTAAGAGTTAACAGAGCGTGCTCTCGCTGCTAAGGCGGCGCATGCGTTGCATTGGGGTGACAACTTTAAAGCTGTTGAAGTTGAATCAACTTGAAAATGTTAATGAAAAATAAAAATAAAGCGATACATGGGTAAAGGGCCGCTGACACCCACACCCCACACCCCACACATGCACACATGCACGCACACATACGCGCACACACATAAACATAGACTGACTGCGTTTATTAAAACACCCAGGCGCACATTGCACAAAGGCCAAGTCAGGCAACAGCCATAATGACTACAACAACAATAGCAACCCCTTTGGCCGGGCCCCATACAAAAAAGGCAGAAAAATAAAAGAAGCATTTGGAGCCATAAAGTGGGCAAATGTGAGCAGAGGCGAAAAACCATTGCATATTTCAGGGGGGCAGCTCCTGCTGCTAACCAAGTGGCAGCGTGTTAGACGCTGTTAACTGTGTGCGTGTGCAAGAGTGTGTGTGCGTGTGTGTGTGTGTGTGTGAGGTTGTTTGTGAGTGCACTCATAGCACCAACTGCCAACAGCAGCAGCAGCAACAACAGCTGCAACAACAACAACAACTGCTTTAAATTGCATGTTCAGTTTTTGGCGAGCGATTTTAATGCTTTTAAATTGAATGATGCGAGAGTGGGGGCAAAACTCTGTGGCCAGCCTGATGTTGTTGTTGTTGCTGTTGACATGTCATTTAAGTTAATAGCAATAAAAAATCACAAAAACAGAACAGAATAGTTTCTGCATTTATATTGAGGTTACACTTAATTGCAGCCAGCGTGTTTTAAGGTATTTTATTGATTTTTGTCGCTTTCAATTTTCGTGCTCGCAAATTGCATTAAGTTGAAAATTCCCCATGTCTGCAAACTATTCCACGTATCTGGGGAATACGAATTTTCTATTTATTTCATTTCTTTGCGGTTTTTTATATACTGTCTACGTCTATGGGAAATTCTGCGAATAGTTTATGAGCGCCAGGATTTGAGCGCGCTGTTGCTGTTACTCCAAGCCTAGGGGTGAAGCCAAAAAAATGAAAGAAAAAGAAATTCCAAATTTCGAAATTGGTTTTTTGTTTCAAAGTCATTTGGCACGACGCCATCGCCGGGGTTCAATAACACGAAGAAATTTGTGAATACCCAGTGCTCGTAAAGCATGAAAAGGACATGTGCATGTCCAATGCACGCAAATAAATGGAAATCACATAAAAGAGAGAGAGAGAGAGAGAGAGAGCGCCAAAGAGAGAGTGAGTCTTGAGTCTGGGGTTGCATTAATGCCACACAGCAGCCGAGGTTAGCACCAGAGTTGAGATCCTTCTTTGACCCGCAGACATGTCAGCTACCTAGCTACCCCACGTAGAGCAGGTGAGCTGTTGTCATCGCCAAACTGGTTTCAGCTCTTAACTAGAAAATATTGCGTTCGGAACTTTATTGCGGCTGCCGTTGGCGCTGCCGAGTTACTCATTCAAAAGTTTCAGACTAAAAAGAACTCTGAACGAAGCTCGTCTCCGGCGAGTCAACATGAGAAACACTGTGAAACAAATTGCCAAACGAGATGAGCGTGAGCTCTTTGTGGCGCCGAGCCCTACTTCAAAGGGGGCGGTGACCAAATGCGCAACGTTCAGATAGTTACTGTATCGTAGGATAATATATTTATATTAAAAAAAAAAAAAAAACACACATTAATTGAAAACTTTTATGAAGCCGAGCCCCCCTTTCGATGCACATGAGCTACGTCTCTGTTACGCTTTTAGCTACCTCATAAATATGGCTTAACTCTTCGCTGCCTTCATAGAAATTATAGCGCGATTTAACTTTAATTAAACGCGGCAATAGAAATTTACATTTAACCAACAACAATGGAGGCCCCAAGAATGACTCCTCGGCTTAGTTACGTCATAATAATATATTATCTAAAGCTAAACAGTGCTGTGTTCTAAAAAGAAGCCTATTGAAACCTGAGGCAATATGCAAGAGCCATTTAATAT